TTTTTCCCATTCGCAGGAGTCAACATTTTGCAAGGGTACGGTGGTCCTTGCTTCAACTCTGCAAGATCTATTTTGTGCTCTTCGACTTCTGAGAAATCCTCTTCGACTTCTCTTTCGTCTGAGCAGGCTTCGATATAAGCCACTCTTTTTTTTCTATGACTTTGTTTTGCCCTAGCCTTTTTTATCTTCAAACGCTCAACTTGTCGAACCCTATCAGCCAATTGCGCCATATCCCTAAAATAATGGGGATCTAATTTTTTTCCTGATAGAAAAGTCTAAACCTCTTGCTGCCATTTCGACCAACTCGTGTTTTGGAACTTGTGTGAAGCATCTTGCCTTCAATAAACGGAATCTGTTGAGGTAATCGTCTATGGGCTCACTAAATTTTCGCTTGACATTTTCCAATTCTCTTAGACTAATCTTGGTTTGTCCTACATAAAATTGTTCATGAAACAGCCTCTCCAAACGAGTCCAATCATGGATGGAATTCACCGCGAGGGTGGTGAACCAAGTAAAAGCATTTTTTGTCAGCGAAGAAGGGAAGTATTTAATCCTTAGATTTTCATTATTTGCTATATCTCCTGCCTCTGTAAGGTATCTGGCGATATGTTCTATGGTAGATTCGCTAGTATCACCAGAAAACTTGGTGAATTTGGGTACTTTCCATCCCCTTGGCAATTCAGTTTGTTGAATATATTCTGACAAAGGGGATGTATAATTTGGTCTACACATACCTAAGTTTATCCCATTTCGTGCCATAATCCTTTCAACTAAGGCTTCTAGGTTATTGTTTCCCACCATATCATTCTATCGACAACCCTGAAGGATTTCATCGTCATCTTGGTTTCGATTCACCAAAACTACCCTTCTCCCTGGTTCCTCCCTAGGGATAACCTGTTGGGGTCTGGGTGGTTCCTCCATTCGAATTCGTTGTTGGACTCTGGCTTCAGGGTGAATCAAAGGTTGGGCCCGGTTTATGGTTGGCTCTTCTTGGAATATGATGCCTTGATTCTCCCTTACCCATGTAGGCTGTGGGGGTGGTTGTCGAACTACTTCTCTGGGCGCACCAAAGAAATCTGCAAGATGCCCTATTTGCGCTGCCATCTGTTGGTTTGCTTGGGCATTCTGCAAGTTAGTTTGTGTAGTCCTTTGAATTAAAGGGTTGAAAATCGTACCCATCTATTGGGCCAATACGCCCAACATCTCGTGGTTGTTATCGTCCATTTGTTGCCTTATGACTGCTTGTGTATTTGTGGTGATAGCTGGTATTTGGATTGGCTGCGAATTGTTTCTAGCCATATGGTTTATCCCATACCCTGATCCTTTCAATGGTGATAAAGTAGATGTTACGGGACGGGTGTATGTCGACGTATTATTTTAAAATCCCGTCATGAACGAAGTTGGCATACCATATATAGGATCTGATGTTGGGATTGTAAATCCTGGTGGAAAAGTTCTAGACATACCTATCGAAGGCCTGGGTGTTAACGGTGGATTTTGATTGGCCATAGACACAATGGTATGTTCGTTATGGGTGTTTGATGATATAGTTGAAGCGTTTATATTTTGGGGTATAACTGCAGCGCTTGTTGTCGAAGGGATCGTTGCAGTCCCTTGACTCGCCGTCTTCACTTCGTTTGTATTCAAAGTGCTGGTATTTCCTCCCACAGGAGAGTGAACTTGTTGTGCATCACTAGTGGGTGGGTTAGCCATTCCCCTAATGTGTTGTCCTTTTGGTCTAAGATTTGTATTGTTGGCTAGTTTTCCACTTCTCAATCTCATGCAATAAACAAGTTAAAACTAAGATGGATAAAGACACAGGTCCCACCAGGTGTGCCAATTTGTTTACCCTCGAATTTGGTAAACAACCGCTGATCTTCCAAATCCTTACACGGATTCAGTTACTTGCGAGATCGATCAGATTGATCTCAGGACACGAGTGTCTTTATTAATCTTTTAACTTGATTGTTGTATTTAACATGTTTTGTATATGAAGACAAATGGCTTCAAATGTCAAATTAAAATGCATATAAAGTGAAAGTAAAATTACTTCTAAACTTGAAATGGTAAAAGACTTAAGTAAATGTTACTGAAAATTCTGCAAAAAGTGAATGCATTTATATTAAACGGGTGTATCATACGTACATCCTCAATAAACTCGTTTCTCTTTAACACTTGGTACTTTGAATAATTTTTGAGTAATTTGTACAAAGATATTCACCACCTAAATCGAAATACTAAAGCCATTATTTATACTACTTCGACCCTAACGGTCTTCTACACGAACTAATGTCACGTTTCTGTTTGCATGTCTTCGACGAACTCAGAGCCTTCCACGCGTCTTTTCGGATAAGATCAAAATATTTGAATTCGAATCTCCTTCTTATCTTGAGCGCCAATCTCTGAAGACGATCGAACGAAAAAATGTTTGAAACCATAGCCACATTTCAAATAACAATCTTTATTCAATAATTTGAATTGGTAAACCTTTCCAACGAATTTTACTCAATTCGAATCTCAACCTTTATGGCTTCACATAAATAAAATAGTGGAATATTCTGAAGTATATTCAAGTCTAACTTTAAAATCCTTAGTCGAAATTTCCAACTAACACAAGGTTGCAAGTATGTTTTTGAGAGGTACCAAATTCAATGTCATGTCGGAAATACATTCCTTCTTTTCCGGCAAGAGGCTACATGCAATTAAATGACCGGCTAATTTTTCACATAAATCATGATTATGTAAACTATATATAACATTAAATCCCCATTTATTATTTGTCAACTGATAACCACGCAACTTAAATGGACATTCACATTTTCTTGAATCGGTTTTCTCTCGTTTGAAATTTGAGGGAGGAGGTTTATATTTACCACTTCTTTCGCATCTCAATGTCATAAATGCACTTCTTCCATCCGAACCATTACCGAACCTTCCAATCACAACATCAAACCCTAGTTTTGTGGCCTCTGTATGAATTCATTGCAGCATGTCAACACAAAATCGATACTCTTGTTCAATTTTAAAATGGTTTCAAATATCTACCACCTTCACTAGGACAGGTGAAACATCTTGAGACACAATAGGTTTGAGGATAGCATCGAAATGCACCATACCTAATATAGACAAAAACATATAAACTAAGAAACATCCATAATACGAGTAAAATTGCTGAAAAAACAGCACAGACAGCTATCGAAAATGTATTTCCAGACGAATTCATAGACATTCCGAAAATATACTTCTAGTACAAGCGTGACCTTTTTTTGATCTAAAACCATATTAATGTGAGAAATAGAGGTTAAAATGAATGAACTTTATCTTAAATTCAATTTCCTTTAGCTCCTTTTGATTTGATGAAACACGAGAATGGGGATTTGAAGTGAAAAACTTGATTGAGAATGGAAGGATTTTTAGAGAAAGTTTAAGGAAAATATTACAAATGAAGTTGATCATGCAAGTTGCTATTTTTAGCAATTTTACTTTTAATTTTTCGAAGATATATCTCTGAAAAAATCCAACATGTAAAAGTGATAGGATTCCAATTTTCCGCACAAGTATACCATAAATACATCTCTGAAAATATGCATGTAATATTTCTAAATAAATTTATTAATTCATAATGTCGGAGATATATCTTTAAAATAATTTTTTATTTGATTCTAAGATAGCATTAATTTTGCACGCTTTTGTGTGATGCAAAAGATGTGTCAAAAAATATACTTCTGAAAACCAGTGAGCAATTTCAAATTAGGGTGTAATAAAAAATTCTCAAAACTATCTATTTAATTATAAATTATCAGACATGACGATGGGACAATTTCAAAAAATTTATAAAATTTAAGAAAAATATAGTAGAATATAATGAACAACCCCATTTAAATTCTAATTTTAACAGTCAAAGTTTTATTATTCTATAATTTGCCTAACTTACTGTCAGCCCACCCATATTGACTAAGTCTATTTACTCTAATTCTTTTTCCAAACTTAACAAGGGAGAGTAAATTACTTTAAAGTACAATATTATGATTTTAATTTACTCTATATTTATAATGATTGTTTTATCATTTTTAATGAACATTAATAAAATTAATATATATAAATTTTATAAGTGATATATTTGAAAGAAAAAATAAATGCATCTAATTATCTGCAAATGGCCTTATATTTAAGAACAATTATTTTCTTCTTTTGGAGCATATACCTTACTCATGAAAAGAAAAAAAAAAGTTAGAAATTAGAATTATCATCATTAATTTTTCTTTTCAAGTTTTCACCACCAGGACACACACAGACATTATCATCATTAGTTAAAGTAAAAATAATCTACACCCAAACATGATTGATATTATATCATATTTTCCTACGGTGAATGTGTACTGTACACGTTAATTAAAAAATTATTACCAATTACTTGGGGCTCAAAAAATATTTTACAGTTTTATCATTATTTCTTGTTTTTTTTATTAAGAAAATATTGTTGTATTTATATGTTGTTTTTTATTCCAAATAAAATTGTATGAAAATAGTGAAAACAATTTTAATTGTGTATAGGATTTTCTAATTAAATTATTAAATAAACAAGCAGTTAGTATTCCTATAATAATAATAATACAAATAAAAAGGAAGGAAGGGAACAGAAAGTGTGAAGTTAACGGACCGTTGTGTTCGGTACGGTGAAACAAGAAAAAAATGTCATGCCACCAAATAACTATCAATCAGAAACTAATAAACTACAGGGGAGCCATCAAAACTATTACTCTCCCCAGCCTCCAGAGATGGAAGCCTCGTCTCATTTATTTATAGCCCTGCTCAATGCCTGCCAATCATCAGAATATAACTGATGCAACTGCATTTATCATTCATAACTCAAAGGATCGAACAATCATGGCTGAACAAAGCATTGATAAATAAATGAATGGCTTCTGGATGAGCATACAAACCATGTTGGAGTATAACCACTACTCATTAACAGCTTCGAATCACAACCACCACTCTAGCTAGTTTCCACCACCTCGTCTTGAGTGAGTTTGACCCCTCTCCCTAAATCTTCCCCCGGCCTGATAGTAACCATCTTTAGGTCGTTCAGAGTTGTCTGATTTGCTGTCTCCATATGGTCCTAAAGAGTGGTACTGGTGGTGAAAGTTTGAAGGAGGGCCTTGTTTTTCCCGGTTTTGATGATATTGGTTATCTTGTGCATGTATATTCCAATCTTCATGAAATTCACGTCCCTTCCCAAAATGGCTTTGATTTCCACTTCGGCGAACCCCGGATGATGGGCGATGCTGATTCCTAGAATTCATACTTGTTGGAGCCTGCTCACTTGAGCTAACAGCTCCCTGATTTACGGAGTGGGGATGGCCTTCTAGTGGAGCGTTTCTACTATCTCTTTTAACCTCCAGATTCCCAAAAGTTGGAGCTTCTCTACCCTTGCTCTTCTCAGAAACTGATTGGCTGGGAGGTTGTGCTGCAAGAAAGCTAGAATCCTTGTCTATAGCACCTGGAAATGATCCACCATGAGTAAACTCCTTTTTCTTGGGTTTATCTCCTCTCTGATTATTTGATGCCTGAAATTTGGGTTGCCAGTGTGACGACCCACGTTCTCCAATACTTCGATTTTCCTTCAAAACAGCATTCATATCTGGTTGATTATGCACAGAAGATGATATCAGTGTTTCAGTTTTCCTTATCTCCCCAGCCCTTCTCTTCTGATCAACGTCATGGTTCACCCATGTGCCCTTCTGTCGCCTAAAAAGTTGCCTTTCCCTGACCGTTCCTTTCCCTGAAACGGCTGAATCATAATTCTCTGGATTGTTTGAGACATCAGGTTTGCTGGTGTCATTAGCATGATTCCATTGTCCTCTTGTTTCAGACATCTGCACTTTCTGATGTTCCATCGGTATCTGAATATTTTGATAGGATTTTGAACCATGGTTCACTCCATCTAGCATGTCGTGCACATCTTTTGATTCTGTTGAATTCCTTTGCCGCCATGATCCATGTGATTTTCCCTTCCAAACCCTAGTCTGCCTGCTATCTCCAATTTTAGACTCCAGGACAGAACTCACTATTCCAGCACCTGAAATAGTATTCTGCGTTATCTGGGGACCTTCAGAACCAGAATCAACTCTTTCAACACATTCATCTGTAGGAACCTGACTGATTGAGGATCCCATTTGTTGTGAACTTTCTTGCTGAGCCATTTCTTTTGCAATAGGTTTTGGAATATATCTCTCCATTTCAGCCCTCTTATTTCTTAAATTATGCACCTGCTGTTCACTCTTTGCAGGAACAATTGCCTCAATTTTACTTTTCTCACTTGATTCATCCAAGATGCCCATGTTCGGTGGCTTAACAGGTGCCCACATCAAAGCATCACTCCCATGGGACTTCTCTGTTAGTCTATTAGCCTGCATGTTTCTTGGCATCCTACGAGAGTGCTGTGATTTCAACAGGTTATTCGTTCTACCATAGGATTCTTCAATTTCTGAATATTTTTGCTCTGAATACTGGTTTGGATCTTTATACAAAGATGATGACTGAAGAGATCCCTGATCTAACTCGATGTCTTCCCTGGGTTTATTATCAACAGAGCTACTAGAAAGATCGGCTTCCTTCAACGTTGCAGTTGGTAATGCAGGCAAGAATGAAATATCTTTAACTTTCTGTTTGTGTTTTTTATTCCTGTTATTCTTCTTTTTCTGGTTCCCATGTGACTCAACCATAGAAATTGAATTCATGGGTAAGGCTGAACTTACTTCATTTGTAGCAATGCCAGAAGATACATTAACATAAGCCATTGGGTCGGAAAGATTTTGCTTTTGTTTATAACCTGTTCTTCTCTGCTTTGAGGCAACATTGTTTTGAGACTGTAAAGATGTGGCATCAGCGCAATTAACATTCTGGTACAGGGTCGCCGACTGATTAGGATTCATAACATTCTGACTTGCATCATTATCATTAGGCATTACAAAAGAATTGGCATTCCCGGATTTTCCCAATACTGTTGCGGACTCAGAAAATTGAAATTCTTCTTGCCTATTCTGTAGGGGAGAATTCGCAGCATACGCTTTCTGCATTGATCCTTCCACTGCTTCTGTGCGCCTGTTTACCTCCTCTAACTTGACTAGAGATTTAGCCCTTTGTTTTTTAGTGCGCTCCTCCTCCACCTGCAGTTGCTTAGTCTGCTGCTTGGATAACTCTTTTGTTATAGCACGCTGAAGATTTAAAAAATTGTGCAAGAGTTAAATGCAAGCATAACAAGTAGCTAGTACACAAAAAGTGAATGTATTACCTGTTCATGGCTATTGGCTGAATCAGATAAGGTTTGCACAGATATTCCTTCGCGCCTTACTTGGCTATACGACCCAGACCTTTCATAGGCATCAACAGATATTTGATGCTCACCTACAAGAATGCTAGATGCTTCCAACTGCGTACCTGATGATGATGAAGAATCTATAACCCCAAATTTCTTTTGCCAACCATCAACATCTTGAGTATCGAGCCTACTTTTACGATGGTTGTGTCTGCCTTGCATGCCATGAGAAACTTGCCTGTGCAAGAGAATTTCAATACTTTCACCACGATTAATGAACCATAATTAGAGCAGTTGATATAAAGAAACTATGGCCACCAACCTGGATGTAGGTGTTTCACTGAAAGCTGATGACTTCAAATTCTTTTCGCCTCCAAAAGCACCCACTCCACAAACTGTTGGATTTTTTACTTCAGTGGCAAGGGTTGTCTCAAGAGATACAACACCAGCACTTGTTTCATTATCCACTTTGCTACCAGTGTAAAACTTATTCATCCTATCATCTTTACTTTTAGTGGATGAAATATCCCTGGCTTTTGCATTTAAACCCTCTATCTTTTGAATCAGAGTAGAATCTTTAGGGGCAGACGGTCTTGAGGCAATTCCTAGTTTATTAGAACTGACAACATCCATTTTCCTTTCCGAAATATTATCAAAGCTTCCAGCACTTTCAAGGGACTTGGTATTCTTGACAGAAATAGATCCTTGATTTCCCAATGTTTGAGAAGAAGCTTCTTTGCTATGAGCACTTATCCTCTTTAAATCCATCTCCATTTTCCCTCTGTGATCATTCTCCTGGACAGGCAATCTTGATTGGTCCCTCTCATTGGCATGTGATGCATTCGTTGTTAACGAGTCCTCCCAGTTTGTCATTGGTTCATTTTTTCCATCCAACTCATTGTGTTGCTTAAGAAGAACTCTGTATGGCCTGGTGTCAGGAGTATGACTGGATTCTACCTGCTCTGATGCCAATAGTTTTACTACAGGACCGTGTCCACCAGATCTACCTTGTGAAATGCCATGCTCGGGTGGGTTATGACTTAGGTTCCTATTATAAACAGAAGCTCCAGTTGCCATTCCCATGAAAGGGACATCTCGTTCATTGGAATTACAATAGCCCATTGGAGGGCCATAGTAGGCTTCATAGGCCATAGGGCCGGGGAAAAAACCAGGTCTCAATGGCATACCTGGAGGAATGTAAGCATCAGGCATATGAGGCCTGTAGACTTCCCCATTATTATGCTGCCCTCTTGGACCACTTCCAGGAGGAGGAACTTGAGGTGGATTCGCAAAACCAGTATGTGGAAATTGTGGACGGTAAAATGGAAATGGTTCAATTGGAAAGCCACCTGGAGCAACAGGAGTTGCAAAAGGAGGACCATTAGGTGGGCCTCTGAACCAAATATCACGTTGATGGTTATTTACTGGAGCACCACGCCAAACATCAAAGTGCTGAGGAAGAATACCAGCATTAGGATAGGGATGGAGATTCCCCTGCCATTTCTCTATTCCATGCCTCATACCATCCTCATTGAAAGCCTGGTCGTCTCTTCTCCAAGAATTTTCAGTTTCACACTTCGTATTTGCATGAACAGGAAGATCATCTGTAACACAAGCAACACAATCATGACAATCAATGATAAATCACAAAATCCTAGAAGCAGAAATGGGCAGAACCAAAACTAAGCCAACATGTATTAATATAACGGCAAGAGCATGAAGACAAACCGACAGTTGAGGTCTCATTTTTCTCTTTCCCAAGTCCAGCAGAAGAGTCGGAACGAATATGAGAACCGTGATCTGTGAATGGTACATAAATATTTCACAACAAATGATAAATTAAATCTCAACCATTTCTGAATTCAGTCATTAGATCTCAACAAAGATATTCTAATATCTTGATCTTGAAGTCACTTGAGTTTTAGATAACAAGACTAAAATGCAGTCCAATTATTGAACATATAATGATTTAAATCCCCCCAACCATTTCAAAATTTATGTCATATAAAACTAGAGAACACAACAATAAAAACACTAAGACAAAATATAGTGGAAAACTGAATGGATAAAGAAAAAGTAAATTTGAACTTCTAAACTTATAGTACACAGCATGGTTGTCAAAACCGGGATAACGATAAAAAATCGTTAGGGTATAGAAAAAGCGTAAATCGTAGGATCGTAACAAGGATTGTAAGATCCCAACAAATAGACAAAGTTATAAAAATAATTAGGAAAAATTACTTTAACGTAAAATTTTCATTAATTTAATCATCAATAGCAAATATGTTATCCAAAAAAACATAATAAAAGGATTTGATTTGAATTTATAGAAAAGATAGATGATGGGAAAAAATTCATTCATTGTATGATTAATCGATACAGAATTCTCAGAGTTGCAGTGCCTTTTGTTTGCGGACAATCCTTATTTTAGAATTCTCAAAAGCTCATTTAAAACATTGCAAGTCTCAAAACCCAAAAATATGTGTGCACAACAGTCAGCGTTAGTTATGGGTCAGTTTATGGACCGAATCGAATTGTTTAATGACCTGATCGAAACGGATCTAAAGCTGGTAAAAACAAAAAATGGATTGTTGGGATCTCAGAACTTTGTGCCACTTTAATCGGTGGTCGGTTGCCGGAGCGTAAGATCGTAAGATTTTGGGAGTTAGAGCGAGATCCCGACAACCATGGTACACAGTACACTACACTCATATGTATATAAGCAACTTAAACTAAAGACAATATGTGATATCCATAAAAAAATCCCTTTTTTTATTAAAAAAAAAATGCTACTAAAGAAAGAATAGTACAAAGCAAGAGGATAAGACACCCTTGCAAGAAAATTGCAAATGAAAACCCCTAGAAACTAGGAGAAAAAGTCATATAATAGAACATGCCAATCTGGCCAACATCAACAAAAACTAAACAACATATAAACAAGAAACCTAAAAATGTTAGGCAAAGTCATTGTAATGACAGCAACCACTCAATGAGAAATGAATGCAGCGTAAATCGATAAAAAACAAATGCAACTAAGACCAAAGAATGTAGCAATATTATCTATTTCAAATTGTCAATCAATATAAAATCATAATCACCTTAGTACTGATAATATTTATGCATAATATGCTACCTTGGGACTCAAAATCAGGTACAGATTTGTCCTTTTCAGAACCAAGAGTAGGAAAATCTCCAGAGCTCAAAGAAAAATTATCATTCTTGCATTGTTTAATTCCCTACATCAGGACAGTAGTACAATATTAGATACAGATGATAAATCAACTTCGATAACATCCCTTCAAATAACTACTACAGAAGAACTTCAAAGAAATTTGGAATGAGTTAATGACTCAATTGTCTTATTTTAACAAATAATAAAGTCAAATACTACTGTAGCATTACTCTTCCTAGTACATCTCCAAATTCACTAAAATTAGGATATTTGTCAAATTATTCAAAACACGTTCCAGGAATATATGGGTAGGAAATGTGTATTCTGGGAATGGATCCTCTCATGTGACATGAGGGTCTGCTGAAATTCCCCCTTACATTGAAAAGGAGAGAGAAAGAGGATTTACAATGAAATAAAAAGAGAAAGGAGGTTTAAGGGTTGAGATATGGAAACTTGAGAGAACATGAGGGAAAAAAACTGAGGATCCATTACAACGAATTCCTACGCCTGTTACAAGGTTAAAAAATTATTCCTATGAAAGCGGTTAGGAAAGTATATTCCAATGAGGTGTGGATGAAATTTTGTATTTAACAGTTTTTTCATTTCTATGATAACTACCTCAACGTCCCATTTTATTTATTACTTTTGGGAATGTTATAAATGTTAGCCAAACACTTTTTAAAAGATTACTTTTTTTAAGAAAACTCAGAAGATTACTTTACAATTAGATGACTGAATATTTTCCCCGATACAAGGAGTGGTTGCCAATCCTTGATAACGGGCAAAGAAGCTGACAGCACAGTTGCCTGTTAATATTCCAAAGAGTATGGATACATAACTAACAGTTTATTAAGCAAACATACAAATACAATTTTTTTCAAAAACACAAGACCCGTATTACTAAAAGACAATCAAAGCCATAATCTACAACTTTCGTTTTGAGATAGACTGCCATTTTGTTAGAGAGAAGATTGAATCAAGCGACATCATCACAACAAACTTTGTCAACTCTAATAATCAATTGACAGATGTTTTTACAAAGTCCTTACAAGGTCCCAGAATTAATTAAATATGTGTCAAACTTGGTGCATTTGACTTATATGCTCCAGCTTGAGGGGGGAGTGTTGATATTTGCATATACTTAGAATAGAATATTCCATAGTATATTTGTTAAATCTACCGTAGTCCTTATGTAATTAATACAATTAGCTGTGTAATTCACTATATAATACAACTTCCGTAGTGCCATTCATACACACGGTTTCTCTAAATGTCTCTCATTTTTCAACACAAACAAATAAACACATATTTTCCCAAACACAGGACCCCATACTAAAAGACATATTATCAATCAAAGCCATTATCTAGACACAACGACGAAAGCAGAATACTTTGTGGAAGGAAGTCTTTTTATTTTTTTAAAATATGGAGCAATTAATTTGAAAAAACAATAATATGAACAAACTCATGAGGCTAAAACTAGCATTATGTTGACTTGCAGGTGCTAACTGCTAAGTACAAATCACATTCAAAAAAAGAAAAAACAGAAACAAAGATGTGTTGAATCAAACTGTGAACAAGGGAGAAAAGATCGGAACCGATCAACAAAGGGCATCTGTGAACCATCAGAGGTAAAGACAAATAGTAAGTTGCTGAAAAATGCCAGGATGGGAACAAAAAACATGTCGGAAAGATGGGACTTGGCCAGAAAACCACTGGCTCGTGTCACCAAAAGACGGGTGGGCTTCTGAAAGTAGAAAAGAGGTGGGAGCGGGTGGACAGTGGATTTTTCGAGAAGGAGAAAACAGAACGAAGAGCAAAGTGGGATCTTCATCTATGTAGCAGCCGCAATACTGCCCTATAAAATGTGAGGGACACTCAAAAAGGAAATTCATTAGCTACAATTTCTCATAATCCATGCAACATCTTAAACATTGGTTAAATCAATCTAACAATCTATTAATACCATAAATTACCGCAAAAGCATTGTATGAAGTGACTAATGATAGTATCATAGGCCTCAACTGCAAAAAAAATAAAAAGAACAGAGGCCTACCAATTTCTCTGTAGTTCTAGCAGCATTCCAAGCCACTGAATTTTCAGTCGTTTGTTCAGCAAATCGAGATAATTCTGAACTACCAGGTCTTGTTTCAGCACTGCGAGGACGCAATGATGTCTGAGAAGTCTGACTTGATGTCGGTACCCCAGATGATGATGAAGGCCGGGAGTTTGACCCACATGCTCTATTAGTTAGTTCAGAAGCCCTATCACTACCAGAAGTTGAAGGGCGGGTTCCACTTCCACCAGATGATGGACGGGCACTCAGTTGACTGGGTGAACTAGTACCACAACTGGTATTTGGAGATAGAGAAGAACCCCATGCATTTAATGCAGAAGATGGTGATTTACAGCCCCAGCTGAGGGAACCCCTAAACAACATAAGACAACAAAAGAATTAGTTATCTAGTCCAGAGGAACAAAGCAGCAGAAAAAAAAAGACTTGCTACCCAGATTAATAAAAACATAACTCACTTGGGTACAATCTCCACATCTGGGTCCAGGCCATGATTTTCTAACCTTAAAACAAAGAAAAATTAACATGTTTAGACCATGAATTGACCATACTAATTAACTGAGAAAGTAAATAGTTAAGCCAGAAATCAAATACCTCTGACTGGGTAAATTTATAGGTTTTGGAACAGCGACTTTGCCTAACACGGTCATACCACCCCTTCTGGTGGAAGAGGCCCACCTGTGCAATATTGTCATCATTAATTTCTATTAAGTCAACTAATAAAATACAATCATGTATACATAAAGGAGGGGTCAAAATTTGAAACCTCTCACTTAAGGAACTAAGTGGTCAGCATCAAAATGATATAATCATAAAAACAGTTGGTTTTCTACAAAGATGATAAGCATAACAAGCATAAATTAGCTTTTGAATGCCCAAATCCCTCATCACTATCCCATTTCTAGTGGCTTCTAATGCACACAAGTCCAAAAGTACCTTCGTTCCCCATTCAACATGCTTGAAGTCATAGTCTGGTTGTCGCCACACGCACATTCAATCCAATTTAACGGCCTGGTGAAAAAGGGACAAATGAGATACTGCAACTGTTTATGTATATATTTGTAATTATAACATAACACTGCCACTAAATTTTGAGGGGGGAGATAGATGAGTTGAACTTTTTCTTAAATTTTTAGGAACATTCAGGAATTACATGCATACGATAACACGTTCAGAGTGCTAAGCATGGACCAGAGGAATATTCAAAACCCAAACAACAGCTAAGAAGTCATTCAATATCGTTTGAAATTGAATTGGACTGCACGATTGACGAGTTTTTATAGGAGAAATACTTGCCTTTGAATGAGAAGAAATGGAAGAGGATCGTAGAAACCCTAGAGAATCGAATGGAAGGGTTTGCAGAAAAACGAGCTTGAGGAAAACGAGTTTGCGAGAGATCTACGAGAGTGGTGTCTTTCGATTACAGTTAGGGTTTTTGTTTTGGATCGTAGAGATTCAGCGAACGTATAGATCTATGCTATCCCAAATGTGTAAATTTTGCATTACTAAGATTGATTTTGCATTTTGAATTTTTTTGCTTAGGTTCCTTTATTTTCAATTTTTTTGAGTTTTAATTCATTTATTTTAAATTTTGAATTTTTGTTTCTAAACTTCTTCTTTTTTTTTATATATATCACTTGATGATGTTTTTTATTTTATATATGGGTTTTTGAATTTTAACTTTAATGAAAGGATAATATTTTTTTTTAAAGACTAAAATGATACATAATCACCAAAGAGTCATTCAAGCAATATATAATTTACCAGAAGAATTAAAAAAAAAATTATTATAACAACAGCCAAGATGAAAATAAGAATATATAAAATGATAATCTCAACACTGGATAAATTATCCAAAACTATCTAAAATGCATTGCATAAGATTTATCCTCCAAATCTGTTACTCAAAAGTGAACCTCAATACATGAGTTTTCAACCACCAGAAAGCCTGAATTTTAACCATTTTGCAAATAGACATCAGCAATAAAGTTTTATTAAGAAAAATTTGTTGATTCCGCGATTTTCAAATAACCCACATAGTAGTTACCTAAATGATATAAAAAATAAACCGACAAACTTTTGACCACCCACCCAACGTCACAAAGTGATCATGATGATCCCTACAATGACTCTGAAAAACTGACGTGATCCCTAATCAACCAGACAACATCGGTCAAATTTTGCCAGAATAATCACTGAGCAAAAATATGATCTCTACTCTCATCCACATTACAACCATTATGACAGCTTTACGCCTCAGCAAGAATAATATGTCGCTTAACCAAATTATCCTTGATCGGTAATCTATTACGATAGAGCCTCAAAAAAAAGATTTACCTGAAACGGTACCGTTTTTTACCACCAGACTTGAGAATTCCTGGATGTTGGTCATCCTTGGACTTCGTCAACAAATGACACGCACTGCTCATATTATAACTCTTTGATAGATGAATGCGCCACACCCAAGTATCTGCAATCGCACCCTGCAAAACAACAGAATCCAACATCTGGATGCACTCCCTCACCAACTTTTCCTCCCATGCAAACAACCTCTTGCGCCAACTCCAAACTTCTTCGTATATCCCACGCTAAAGCAAACATCTCTACTACTATGGCATCCTTGTGCTCAGATAACTTGAAAAGCCTGTGAAATATATACATCAACGCTCCTCTCTCTAGCCAGGGGTCCCTATAGAATAAAGAATTTATCCCATTTCCAATTGCACGCTCAATATTATTCATCAGTCATCCAGGAATACTCATCCCAAACCCTTGTTTGATCATGTTCACATTCTGCCACCACACAGACCCCCCAACTGACCCTGAATGCAACCACCCCCATTCCTCCCCACACCGCTGCATAAGAACCATATACCACAGACTACCCCTCTCCTCCAACATCCTACAACACTATTTATCCAACAAAGCCTCCTTAAACTCCTTTAACCTTCTCACACCCAGACCACCATTCTCCTTACTCAACCAAACAGTATCCCAATCAAACCAAGATATCTTTCTCCCATCCTCTGTACCTCTTCAAAAGAAAAATATTCTGGACTGGGCCAACACTTACCCCACCGTTGGAGAGGCTCAATCCAGCACCTTTGCCCAAGGCCCAAAGGCATGCAGCCCAAGCTGGAAATCGTTGAGCATTTCCCCACGTGTTCGCTAGGGAGACATTGCCCATGTGTCCATATCGTCATCATAACTGCCTTCCAGGAATCACGGGTCCAACACTTGTTTTCTCTTAGCAGTTGACCAGGGAGAAGGCCACATGCTGGACTTCATATGCACGTAAGCCGTGGCACTTTGTTCTTGGGCCTCATCGTGGCCCAACATTGAAGACCTTGACCTAGCGCTGGGGGCTATAAATACCCTCTCACTTGAGAGGGTCGGGCATTGATTCATTCATACTCTCGTATTTACTTACTTGCATTAGCTCTGAACCTCACTTTGACATCAGAGTATCTTGCAGGTACCCCTTCCCCCACTTTACCTCTCACTGCTTCTTGGCTCGAAGCTTGAAGGCTTGGACGATCCATTCTGGTGAGGTACGATCAGTGGCGCCGTTTGTGGGAAATTAACCCACGACCACGTCTCTATCTTAAGACTAAAGCAACTCTCTATCAAACTTCGTTATTTTCATGGCCGACCAAGTTGCCAACAATAACAAAACGCCCATCTCACCGACCTCAACAACAATGTCAGTGATAACATTGGTAACAACAACGCCGAGAACGACATCCATATGGTCGGTCTCGAGCAAAACTATAGAGACGGGTTAAGCGTCTCTTCGTCATCCCACTCTCGACCGCACGAGGATGTCCATATCCTCCAGAACTATGAACCAAATGCTTTCCATGAGGTCCCCGTCCTTGCGGGCGCTGATGCCACAGCCAGGGCTCTGTTCGTGGCCATCAACTAAACAAACTACTTGATTTTCTCGTAGGGTGAGCAACTAAGGGTGCTCGAAAATACTCGTCGGGCCCCTAAAAGATACAGGAGACCTGACACTCCTCCTCTCCGCCAGAACGAAGACCATCCTCAGTCTCCTCTACAAAGACACGAACGGGACAATCGCGAAGCCTTTTTTCCCCAACAAACTGGGCGAGGCCTCGTGTTAGAGAGACCACTACCCGAAGCCACCGGGAGACGCAGCCACACACCCCCGCGCAGGGAACGGTGATCCCCTGAAAATAGAAACAGGGGAAACAGGGAAACACAACCTCGGCCAAGGGATCCTCCCCACGACCAAGGTCGTCACCACGATCGCCATTACAATTGGCCCCCATCCCGCTCCTCATACAGAAGCGACGAAGACGACCCCCGCGGTCCCTTATCCCAAGCAATCATTGAGGAACTCATTCATAGGGAATGGAGAAACCTCCTCAACTGAAGGAATACGACGGCATTACGGACCCGGTCGACCATACCGACGGGTTCGAGGCAATGCTTCATTACCATAACACCGGGAGATCGATCAAGTGCCGATTATTCCCCACGACCTTGAGAAAACTGATATGGACTGGTACATGAACCTCGCCCCAGGGTTGATCACCTCCTGGAGAAACCTTAAGAATCAGTTCATCGGCTCATTCATTGCGTCTCGTCGACATCCATAGACTGAGGCCGCCCTAGAGTCTATCATGCAGAGAAGCGATGAGGCCCTCAGGGAATACATCGATCGGTTCAATTGTGAGGTCATTCAGGTCCCATGCACCGATCACATGAAAAGGTACCTGCTCGAGAGAGGATTCCTCTCGGGCACTGAGTTTAGAAAGGTCGTTGGCATTGAGCCACCCCGATCATTTGACACTCTCCTCGAAAAATCTAAGACCTGCATGGACTACGAGGAGAAGGAAGCAGCCAATATAGCTCGCGAATCAAGGAATCGTGTACAAGACAATGCCCCACGTCACCAGGACGCGGGCCCTTCTCGACGGACGAGAGAGAAGAGAAGGGATGATAAATCGCACGATCCCCGCGAGCACGGGGGACCAGCAGGGTGCTTCATAGAGTACACTCCGTTGACTGCTTCCCACAAGCACATCTTGGTAGAATGCTCCAATGTCGACTTCAAGGACGGCGGCGTCAGACGTCCTCGACCTGCTCCTGTGAAGCTCGAGGATGACAGGACAAAATATTGTCAATACCACTGGAATCACAGGTGTAACACCCCAATTCTACCCGATAATTTTATAAAATCAGTTATAAAAATTTAACAACTAAATTCGGATGCTACAGTTTCAACTTAAAACAATGACATTCATTACAAATACATAACACATTAAACTTGGATGAACCAACAACAACATAAATTAATCTTTTAAAATCAACAACTTTCATAACTACGTAGCGGAATCAAATATTCAACTTAAAAGAATATATCATCTTTGTCAAGCCGAAACAACTTCAAATAATAAGTACTTAACGAATAACAACTTAAAGTTCAATCAACTGAAATAATCAACAATAAAACAGCAAGCGTTTATCCCCCCGAGTGTTACGTATCAGAACAATGACACCGACTCGAACTACTGAAGGTGAGTCGTCTTCACTCTAGACTACCTGCATGTTACCAACATCGGGGTAACATTGAAACAAAAGGGGTGAGATATCTAACAATATAATTTAACGTATGATAAACATTATATTAGAATTAGTTCATACAAAATCACCGCTTCTCAATTTATAAACAACAGTAATCATAACAAAATATTAATAAATTATGACGATTAATTCATCAACCCGACAACTCAAATATGCAACATGCAATGCGACTCGTTTTACGCACATGCATGTGGTACCAATGGAGCAGAACTCCCAACTTGATAGTTTTCCAATTAATAGAGGCATCAACAAGGCATAAGCCTTCAACTTTATATTTTCCAATCCAGACCAACTTAACGAGCATCAGCTCCAACATGATATGTTATGTATGCATTAACAACATGAACGTAATAACAAC